TGTCAGAGAAAGTTAATAAATTCATTAAAATTCTCTGCTTTCACACTCGGCAGTAACACAGAGTGAGGCAGCAGACACAATTCTTATTGAGACGTTGAATTTGACTTCTTCAATGCAATATGTGTGCGGAAACGGGTTTCACAAAACAGTTTCTTCAAGTGCTTCCTATAGTCCCACACAGCTGCGGGTCACCCAGTGCGCTGTGCCAGCAACCGTAGACTCAACAAAACGGAAGAGGGTGATGGTGTCGCTGAGGGGGTGGTTATACGAACGTACGACAAACGAATGGGCAAAAACAGCTGCCGGTGGCTGCATGAGGCACAACAGCCAGCCACCTAGCCAGCAAGCGGCGTTGCGGCCTTAACCAAAGCTAGAAACAACAATTGCCGATAGCCGCTGCAGCAGCAGCGTCGTGCGAAGCAGTGGCAGCGCCAACAGTTTCTGTTTGCTGCGTCAGTTGTTGTTCGGTGGCCATACCAGCTGGAACTTTTCGCTTGTGTGAAAGATTTATCGCTCGGTCATTCGAGTAATAGTAAACGAATTGAAAATAATTACGAATTAAACGCGCGCCGTTATAATCAAAGCAAATCGAAAATTTTGCCGAAAAGAATTGTGTGTGTTTTTAATTGCATTATTGCACCAAAAATAGCGAAACGCGATTAAACATGCAATAACTTGAAGTTATCAAAGTACTGTCAGCTGTATTTTGTTATTTACACATTTAGAACAACAAATAGTTTAAAAATAAATAATCAAAAATCAAATTACGTGCGAGTGTCATCTTCTTTTGTGTGTTTGCCAGCACGAAGGTGGCGCATTCTTATTTTGTGCTAAATATATAAATATAAACAAGTGTGTGTTTGTGTTTGTGTTGGTGTGCGCGCTTTAGTACTTGCTTTGTTCTGTGTTCTGTGCGTTTTGTACTAAATCTAGTTGCAAGTGCTGCAAGTTCTTGACGCGTTGCAAGCACAAACAGAGTGGTTAGTCGACAGTCGTGTTGTTGGCGTTCCGGTTCTAGTTAAAGAACGAAAGTGAAGACGCCATATTAGAACAGCCGCTGCTGGTTTGTGGGCACGTTTGGCATTTTTTAACGCCCGTCGTGCAAGAGTCTTTAGTAGATAACTAAACACTAAAAAAGATTTGGTTCTTTGAATAATAAAAAAAAGTATAATTTCCGGTTTCATTCATAAGATCAGTGTTGTGTTTTAAACAGTATAAACAAAAATCGGTAGCTGCAGCAATTGTGGTTGAAGGTAATTTGTCAAAACAGTCAAAAAAGTCAAACGACGCGAAGATCACAAGTTAATAAAAAATAAAAACTAAAAAAAAAATTAAAGAAAATACTAGCAAAAAAAAATAAACTAAAAAAAAGGTAATGGAAAAAAAAGTAAAAAAAACAGTAACCAAATAAACCAAAAATCAAGAATCCTAAAAATTAAAATATAATACAAAGGTGAAAAACACATGAGCAAAAATCAAAGTTTGTCCGGTCCACTTTGTCCTCACCATTCAGTTTCTGGTCGTTGTGTCTCACATTTCCAAGAATTGGCAGTTAATTTAAAAAAACCACGAAAGGTGTGCGAATAAAGAGATAAAAGGCCCAGTGCAAACGGCTTAAAAAACAAAACGTATACAAACAAAAAAAAAATAAAAAACAAAGTGAATAAGCAAAATCAACGTGTGTGTAGAAAAAACGTATGCAAATTAAAAAAATGCCGGCTGCGTGTGTATGTGTGTGATTTAGCCATGCGAACGAGTTTTCAATCGCATACCAGAAACGCCAAAAATTATTGAAAACCAACACAGTCCGTATGTGCGATATTTAAATCAGCTACGTACATATGTACATACATACAAACTTCTTTACTCGTACATTGTATACACTTGCGCTAATGTTTATGGCAATAACTCGGGCAAAATTATGCAATACTAATTAAACGAAAGTCGATTTCGCGTTGTAAAACTGTTATAAAAACATAAAAAAAGTTTAAATACCAACTTTTGTGTTGGAACGGG